AGCAATGTATACAACTCCTTTTTTTTTTTTTTTGTATACATATGTTTTGGTAACCATGTTGCCAAAGGGGAGAACATTTCTCTTCTGTTTCTTTCTACTAGCACTTTAGATTCATTGAAGATATATTTAAGTGCTAAGTCCCTGGCATGACCCTGCAAATAGAACTTTTTCCTTTCTTTTCTCATTTACTCTTATTCTTACCTTCACCCCTAAGAAATCTTGAATTCTACAGTGTTTTCTGCAGCACCAAGGTGCTGTTGATTGGGGGCTAAAGCAGTTTCTGACAAACCCTGGCAGAAAGCAAGAAAAAAAAATCAGAATTTAATAGTGACTGTGCTGCAGTTGTTGATAGCATTAAAGCAAGATAATGGGGTATTATCAAAATTTAGCACTGTTTTAGCTTGTAAAATAGTTGGCTCACATGTAATAGAATCTATGAAATCAAATATTCATAACTAACCATTTTATCTTAATATTGCCTAGGTTTTAAAAGTAGCTTGAAAGGTGACATTTTCATGAGTATTCACATATTAAAGATAACTATTAGAAGATACACTTACATTTTGGAGAGCCTATAAATCATTTAATTAGCCTAGGACTTCATCTCTCCATCTTCCCAAAGTGTGCAAGTAGTTTTTTCATTATTATGAGCATGATTAATTCCTTGCCATTCATCATGGTGGTGCATAATGTATATAAAATATTTTTATATGTATGCATTTGCCAAATATGATGCTGAGACATTTGGCAACATCTGGACAACTGATTGGGGGAGATCATCTCTTCCCAGACCACCTCCTTCCCGCTTTTAGATGTGTATAGGCCCACGGTAGGTGCAGAATCACTCACCAGGGCCCGCAGGCTCATATCACAGCGTGACTCATAAAAGGTGACTTTTAAAAGACAATTTCTGGAAGTCTGGAGATCACATCACTAGTCCAACACTACATCTTCCCACTGTACAGAAGTGTGTAAAGGATGCTGTTTCATCGTCATGGGCATGAGTAAATCTTTTCCTTTTATCTTGCTAGGGCCTAATGTAAATAAGAGTGTGAGTGTGTGTGTGTGTGTGTGTGTGTGTGTGTGTGTGTGTCGCCAAATATCTAAATAACTAGGTGTTTGGCTACATCTGGACAACCGATTGAAGGGAGATGCTCTCTCCCAGCTCCTTGTCCCTTGTCCTTTTTAGAGTTGCTGCAGGCCCAGGTTATGTGAAATCACGCCCTGGAGTTTGCATTTTAGGTCATCAACCCCCAAATTTCACAGTGTGCATGGACAACAAACAGCCTTAGGGAATAAAGATTAGAAACTTCGCAATCATTTCATTGTTTCAGCACCAAATCTCTCCATATGCCTGAAGTGTATAAGTAGAAGCCCTTTCATCTTCATCAACATGATGCAGCCCTTTCCTTCCATCTGTGTAGGGTATACTCTATATCAGTATTTTGTACATAAAGATCACTAATTTACTGTACAGAGCTATTTGGCTAAAGCTGGACAGCTGATGGAAGGGAGATGCTGTCTCCCAGGCGCTCTTCCTATATCCCTCCCAGAGTTGCTGCAGGCCTACCTTAGATAGAGAATTACTAACCTGGAGGGGCACGTGCAGCTCACCCATCTGGGAGCCCACAGATTATTGTACAATAAAAGCCCATCTCCACTTCAAAATTCAGAAATCCCAAATGCCTGTACTCCTCAAAACCATTTCCCTCCAGGAAGCCTGGGACACCAGTCACAGCAGCTTCTCTTCCAGGCAGAAGCGTGGCCCCTGGCAGGGCACCAGCATTAGGGAGACCCGTGCGCTCTGAATAACTGCCATGAGATCGGGTCAGACGCTCAAACTTGAAAACACTGGTAAGCATCAGCATGCTTTAAATTCACAGGAGAGTTTGCAGATATTCCCTTTTTCGTGGAGATGAGGTGCTTAGCCCTCTCCCGGGCACTGTGAGGGAGACAGGAAGCACAAAAAATTCTGGATTGGTACAATTTGGTACGTGTTTCTTGGGTTTTAAGGGTAGAGTGCCTTTTTGCAATGTGGATACCATCTTTAGTGCAAGTATTTATGGCATCAGCACAAATGGGCAGGGTTGGTTAAGTTGTGAATTCTGGGTTCTGTGGCCTGTTACCTGTACTCAGTGGAGCTGTTTCTGGAATCGGGTTTTAAGTCACGATCCTGAAGCTTTCTTCCTCTCATGCACTAATGCAGTAATAGCTACTTTCATTTTTTAAAAAATCTTTATTGTTGAAAGTATTACAAAAGTCCCCTTTTCCCCTCATTGACCTCTTCTAGCCTGCCCCCCTGAGGCCTTCACCACCCTTTTGTCTGTGTCTATGGGTTGATCTCTTGCTACTTTCATTTTAATGAGCAGAGAACTAAGATGAAATGGTTTAGCTCTGCCTTCCAGTAGCAGTTTTTCCTTTTTGTCCTCACTTTAAATCTCCCCACCACATACCGTGCCATCCTCAAAGGACTGAGACACATGCAAAGAAAAGGTGTGAGAATGAATGGGAGCATCAGGCAGAGCATTCTGTATGAAAATCACATGACCCCCTCTCCCAACAAACGAAGGGAGGAAAGTACCTAGAACCCAGGATGGATTCATTGTTTTCCTGCTACCAACTCTGGATTAGATTGGGTTTCATTTGTGGTTCAGGAGTTTTGTAAAGTGGAGAGGCTGAGTGAGATGGAGAAGGAAGATGGAAATTAAAGGTCTTAATTTGCATAATAGCAGAAGTAAACTCTGCTTAGCTTTCCTCCTTCCCATCTGCCCATAACATCAATGATTGAACATTCAGTAGATGGACGGAGGCGGAGTTCCAAGGTTTAAAGTTTGAACCTGCCTCTGGGTATTGTGCTAGGAAGACTGTACATGCACCAGAGATTATCCCAGTTTTTGGTGCATCATTGACTTGGAGGAGGGTGAAGAAGACCAGACATTTCTCTGGTATCTTCCATGGTAGTCATTCTGAGTACGTAGGCTTTGCTAGTTGGTCTGGTGGAAGGGCACCATATTAACAGATTTAGAGACTGACTCCTAATTCCATCACTGACACTTAGCAGATGTATATAATCATTTATTTACCTGCCAATTATCCTATATAATAAAAAGCTAATATGCAAATAGACCGAACAGCAGAACGACCAGTCACTATGATGCGCACTGACCACCACAGGGCAGATGCTCAATGCAGGAACTGCCCCCTGGTGGTTAGTGCACTCTCACAGGGGGAGCACCGCTCAGCCAGAAGGCAGGGTCAGGAGCAGCGAGCAGGCGGGCAGTAAGGAGTGAGGGGTCCCAGACTCTGAGAGGGATGTCCAGCTGCTGGCTTAGGCCCACCCGTCAGGGAGCAGACCTAAGCCATCAGTCAGACATCCCCCAGGGGCTCCTGGACTGCAAGAGGGTGTAGGCCAGGCTGATGGACCCTCCCCAAGTGTACAAATTTCGTGGACCAGGCCTCTAGTAGACAATTTAGGGGGAAGAGCACTGGATTTGGAGCCAAGAAACCTGGACACTTGGCTCCACACTTTCTTAGCTGGGTGACTTTGGAGCAAGCCACTTAGTCTCTCAAGCCTAAGTTCTTCAGCTATATTATAATGGGAACAATACCTTCACTAACTACCTCACAGAGTATGGTGAAAATATAATCAGATAGCAGGATGAAAATACTATACTGGAAAGACTGTAGAAAAGTGGGAGATCATTTTTATAACCTACTAGAGGACCGGTGCATGAATTTGTGCATGGGTAGGTCCTTAGGCCTGGCCAGCGATCAGGGCCAATCGTGGCCTTCTGGCTGCCAGCCGGGGCCTTCCTTCCCCAGCTGCTGGCTGGGGCCTTCCTTCATTCAGCGCTGCCCCCTGGTGGTCAGCGCATGTCATAGCGAGCATTCGAACTCCCGGTCTCTCGGTGGAACTCCCAAGGGGACACTTTGCATATTAGCCATATCACTAATATTTTCTACTGCCTCTTGAATCTTTTATTTTCCTCT